CTTCAATTCCCAACTCTCTCTGGTATGTTTTGAAATGTGATTTTTCAAGGCCTGTGCAAGAAGGTATTAGAAGGGTCTCTTCTCTTTAATTTCACACAAGTCCATTCTTCCTTTGCCACACCTCTGATAATTAGGATCCTTCCTGCTCAATGATTCTCTGCTTTCAAATAAATAAAAATTCTGTTATTAAAGAAGAAGTCTTTTTAAACAAATATTATTCACTTAAAGGCATTCTTTCATCTGTGATTATGTCTTTATATATTTAATCTGATACTATTTTTAGTCAAATAGAATGTTTTCCCTGGAATATTAAATAGCAAAGATAAGATTTACTTCACTTTTATGATCACTTAACTCTTAGTTTGCGAGTCAAAAAGTGTTTTCTGAGATTCATAGGGTAAATTATATATAGTGTGTACAGTGTACCTTTCTTGGCTTCATTAATAATTCTTGAAACTGAAATATGTCAATAGTTTGCCTCTCTATACTTTTACCAAGCCATCTGGGTTGAAACCTTGAATATGGGTTGGAGATTTTCCCAAAAGAAAAGTAACATTCAGTTAGGTTAAGTGTCAAGTTGCTAGCTTCATACTGTATAAAAGTCAATATGTACCAAGTCATATTAGTGAATTTCATCTACACTGTTCAGAGGTTGTTGAACTCAATTACAGAAATGTGCAGAGCTCTATTTGATGTGTGAAGAGGTTAGGAGACCACAATCAATTAAAAAGAACACATGTATATCCTGTTCTGGGGAAACGGTTGTTATAGTATCCCTTGTTCTGCTTCTGCTTTTTTCTCTGAGTTTTCCTCTGAACATAAGAGAACAAAGGGTTTAATAATTCCCCAGTTTCATTTGGAATTGTTTTGTCAGCAATATCTTGTAGGAAGTCATGCAATTGTTGTTTTACTTGAATGAAGCCTCCGGTGGCTACAATTAAACATGCTGTATATGTTTTTTTTTGCAGCAAAACCATTTGAAAATGGACAATATTTGGATATTTATGGAATTACAAGGGACCAGGCTGGGGAATATGAATGCAGTGCAGAAAATGATGTGTCATTCCCAGATGTGAAAAAAGTAAAAATTGTCGTAAACTGTAAGTCTCATCACTTTTTATCAAGATAACTTCTAAGAAAAGATAAAACACCTTGAAAAATTCTGTCTGAAATATGTGTTGCTGTTTTTCAAGAGGTAGTCTATTGTTAAAAATCACTTAAGGACAGTGAAAATGTGTACATGTTAAAATATTGAACAAGCTGTTTTATGTAACAACAGTCGTCCCAAGTAATTCCACAATAATTCAGTTTGATGTACAGATTGAAATGTTTCCAATATCATCCTGGTCCCCGCTATTCTAAACTGTGGTATCCTTATCTCTAAAGCACCATAGACACAGGCTGTTTTTTATCTCATGGGCTTTACCTGAAGTGCACTTGGACTAAATTTATGTGTGTAACTCCCAATCAAACCCTATGCAAATGAAATGTGCTGGTTTATACTCAAAGAGAAGAGCTGCACTGTGAAGCTTCTATTACTTGAATGATTTAATTCTATTTAGTTTAGAAAAATTGAGAAAACGAAGAAAGAATTTTCCCATGAGCATCCTTGTTAGGAAGTTAGAATATCAGTTAGACATTTGCAGAGCCATCAGTGCCATTATGCTATATGCTTTCTCTAAATGTCTCCACAACACTGATGCAGGACAATTTTCCAATAGCATTCTGTGGCATGCCTTATGATCTCAACAGCAATGACTGTAATAATCTTTGCTTTTCAAAAATACCTCCTTAGTTTTCTCTGAAAAATTTACAAGCTGTTTAACTTCTTCAAATAAAATACCTTTTGGATAATAGTATTTTACCAAAAGTATGTACAAGCTTTCATTTTTAAAATTCCATTTATACATCTTTCTATTATAGCCCTTGCTAATATAGTATTATACCATAGATCACAGGAAATAGTTCCAAATATATCCAGAAATACTAAAACTAATTAGTACTTATTTT